CTGTGGCGGCCCAGACCGCTTTGCGAGCAAGGGCACTAGGCAGTTTCCCAGAGTCTGCCCGAGCCACGAAAATCTGCCCGAGCCACGAAAGTCTTCCCGAACCACGAACAAGCGACCTTGAACCAGACTCTTCAGACGCCCTCCTTTGGATCATAGGAGGACCCAACGTCTAACACGCGTTGCCGTTCTGAGGGGTCAGACAATCGGCTTTGCACCAGGTGAGGTGCGAGAGGGATGAGATGGATTGGAGGCCTGGAAATCCCACCAGCCCTTTGGGCGTGAGTGGTTTAGCGAGCTCTCTCTGTTCTCAACCCCCCTTCTTCCCCTTCGGGGAGGGGTTTACCCCTCCCCCTATCCCCTCCCCCTGGACCTGGAGAGGGGGTTTCGCGGGTCGTTGGAGGGGTCTTTGTCGACTCCTGGGAGGGCTAAAATTCGACACCCCTCACGAGGATTCTGGCCCCGACGGGGGGGAGGAGAAAAGTGCTCGCCCCATCTGTGATCGATCGCCCGAAAGATGGCCCCAAGATACCTCCCAGACCCCTCCCAAAGAGCCCCAAGAGGGCCCAAGAGGCCTCCAAGAGGCCCCCAAGATGCCCCCAAGAGGCCCCCAAGAAGGCCCCCCGAGGCACCCAAGACGCTCCTGGAAGCCCCTGGGGCCGCCAAGAGGCCCCCAAGACGCCCCAAACGGCCTCCAAGAGGCTCCCAAGAGGCCCGAAGAGGCTCCCCCAAGGCACCCAAGACGCTCCTAGAAGCCCCTGGGCCGCCAAGAGGCCCCCAAGGACGCCCCAAAAAGGCCTCCAAGAGCCTCCGGGCCGAACGACTCACCCCAGGACGAGGCGCCCGAACGACTCACACCACGAGGAGCCCGAACGACTCACACCACGACGAGGGCCCCGAACGACTCACACCACGAGGAGCCCGAACGAGTCACACCAGGAGAGGGGCCCGAACGACTCACACCAGGACGAGGGGCCCGAACGACTCACACCACGAGGAGCCCGAACGACTCACACCAGGACGAAGAGCCCGAACGACTCACACCACGAAGAGCCCGAACGACTCACACCAGGAAGAAGGGCCCGAACGACTCACACCAGGACGAGGAACCCCAAACGACTCAAACCACGAGGAGCGCATTCTCTCCCTCCTCCTCCGCCTCGTCCTTCTCCCGCTCCCACCACAAGGAGGATGTACAAGGAGGCGGGAGGAAGGAGGAACAGGGGAGATATGCGGGGGCAGGCGGAAACACGCCTGAAAAACACGACTGTCGGCATGCTCTGCAAGAGTTGCTGTTTTGAGATGGGCTGGTGGGGATACGCGAAGCGTGAAGAATTTGCACCAACACCAACACAGGGGGTTGCCTCCACAGGGGGAAGACGATCCTAGATTTCGGTGGTGGTGGTAACATTTCGGCCACCTTGGAAGCCAGAATATTACCACCATCACCGAGATCGGGATCGTCTTCCCTCGGTGGAGGCACACTGCCGATCTTGGTGCTGGTGTCAATCTCTAGGCATGCCAATGGAGCACGGGATGGAACGGGGACTCTGCATTCCGTTCGGGGGCTGCTGCAGGTGCCCCTGGCCCAGGGTGCCCCCAGCTTTTTCCGCTCCATGTTGGCGCCCCTGGGGCACTCTGGGCCTCATGAGGGGGTGCTCTGGAGGCCGCGGGGGCCCTCCTCCTCCTGCCACCTTCTCTTCCTCCTCCTCCTCCTCCTCCTCCTCCTCCTCCTCCTCCTCCTCCTCCTCCTCCTCCTCCTCCTCCTCCCCCTCCTTGGAAATCCTGGCGGCACCGTGGGCCAGAGGCACTGTCTAGCAATACCCCGATCTGCGCGGAACTCACGGGACTTCCGGGAAAGAAAAGGGGAGAAGAGCGGGCACGGGCGGGCAAGATCAGGGCCGTGGGCCAGGCCGCCCCGAAGACTGCCGCCCGGGCCCACCCCGCCGGAGTCAACTCTACACTCCTCGTCCTCCTCGCGCTCCTCCTCGTCCTCCTCCTCGTCCTCTTCTCCTCCTCCTCTTCCTCCTCCTCCTCCTCCTCCTCCTCCTGCTCCTCCTCCTCCGCCTCATCATCCCTCTCCTCTTCCTCCTCATCAAAGCGCGTGCTCACTCTTCCTTCTCATCCGCATCCCTCCTCCTCAGCAAGTCCCGCCTTCTCCCCCTCCTCCCCTCCTTCTCCGTCTCCTCGTTCCTCCATTCACCCCCATCTTACGCATCTTTGTCATCCTCCTCATACAAGTCCTCCTAAAATGTCCCATGAAACTGATCCTCCCTTCCTCGCCTGCCTTCATCATCACATCAAATTTCCTCATAAGATTCCCCTGCCTCCTCATTGACATCCTCCTCCTCCTCCTCCTCCTCCTCCTCCTCCTCCTCCTCCTCCTCCTCATCATCATCATCATCATCATCATCATCATCATCATCATCATCATCATCATCACCATCACCATCACCATCACCATCACCATTACCATCATCATCATCATCATCATCAGCATCATCATCATTCATCATCATCATCCATCATCATCACAATCATCATCCATCATCATCCATCATCATCAATCATCATCATCATCTCATCATCATCGCATCATCAGCATCAGCCATCATCATCATCATTCATCATCATCATCATCATCATCATCGTCGTCGTCGTCGTCGTCCTCATCATCATCAGGCACCACCATCAGCAGGCATCATCAGCAGCATCCAGCAATCAACTTGAGGATCATCATCATCATCATCATCATCATCATCATCATCATAGCATCATCATCATCATCATCATCATCATCATCATCATCATCATCATCATCATCATCATCATCATCATCATCATCGTGATCATCATCATCATCATCAGCAGCAACAGCAGCATCATCATCATCATCATTAGCATCATCATCATCATCATCGGCAGCATCATCATCGTCATCATCGTCAGTATCATCATCATCATCAGCAGCATCAGCATCATCATCATCATCAAGATCATCATCATCATCATCAGCATCATCATCAGCAACATCAGCATCATCAGCATCAACAGCATCTTCATCAGCATCATCATCATCATCAGCATCGTCATCATCATCATTATCATCATCATCAGCATCATCATCATCACTCATCATCAGCATCATCAGCAACAACATCATAAGCATCATCATCATCATCATCATCATCATCATCATCATCAGCAGCATCATCATCAGCATCATCATCATCAGCACCATCATCAGCACCATCATCGTCGTCATCATCCGCCTCCTCCTCCTTGCCATTCTCTGTCGTCATCGGCCTTCTCCCTCTCTTCTTCCTCCTCCTCCTGCTCCTCCTCCTCCTCCTCCTCGTTGCCCTTCTCGGCCTCCTGCATCCTCCCTTCATGCACCGCTCAACAATGTGTGCTGTGCACCAAACATCGCAGAGTGGTGGGCCCTTTCCCAAATTCGTGACTCGGTGTGGATCGACAGCGCGCCTCGTCTCCGTCGTCATGGTCGTGGTGCGTGCTGCAGTTCTCGGGACGGGCTTCCCTTGTGCAGTGACCATCCACTTGGCTTGCCAGGCACTGCACGCCGCCTGGCTGTCCGTCCGTCCGTACGTCCGTCTTCCCAGCTCTCTGAGCCGCGGCGCTTGGAGCTTCTTCGCTCTGTAACGCGTCGGCCACCGCCGCCTTCGCCCTTGTCGGTGGCCCTGACGAAGCTTGTGGCTGCTCCCTTCCACGCATTTCCTCCCCTTCATACTCCGCTTCCTCTTCCTCCTCCTCCTCCTCCTCCTCCTCCTCCACGCAGTGGCCGAAACCCAGGACCTCCAGGCCGTGCCACCGCTCCGCGAAAAAACTGGGATGAGGCGGGCAGCGCCCCCCAGTGGCAGCGAAGAGGACGCGAGCTAGACACTGGCGGGGACGAGAAAGTCATTCGGCCGCACCACCGCGCGTGCTTTGATGAATTCTGTTTCGGTCCTTAAGAGAGAGGGGGCAGCCCGGTTGCCGTTGGCGGCGGGGGGGGGGGACTGCGGGCTTTTCACCAGAGCAAAACTGCACCAAATCGCATCGTATATGATTCTCGATCTTGGTGGTGGTAGTCAGATACTGGGATCTCAACTCCTCTCACAGCCGTGGCGACGAGGGCCTCCCAGGAGGCCCAAACGGGCGAAAACGAGGGAGGGGTGAGGGTATATCGGCATCACTTCCCTCTCTGAGCCAGCGCCTCCAACTTGATCCAGGATGTCCAGGGTGTTCGGGTCGATCATGGGGACGCAGGGCACGTCCCGGGCGGGCATGAACTCGAAGGGCGCGCCCGTCGCGTCCGCCACCGCCATACCCACCTTGGAGACTAGGGAATGGAGCATTTCTATAGGTCCGGTCCACCTCCTTCCTCCTCACTCCCCCCCTCCTACTCTGATTGCTTCACCCCTCCTGGGAAAGGAGAAGGGGAGGAGCAAGGGGGTTCTGTGTCGTTGTCCTCTTCCAAGGGACAGCACGAGCTCACACGCAGTCCCCAGAACGCGTGGGAGAGGTGCTGGACGGAGGACGAGGAGGAGGAGGAGGAGGAGGAGGAGGAAAAGGAGGAGAAGGAGGAGGGGAGGGGGAGGAGGGAAGGGGGGGAGGAGTGGGGAGAAGAGGTGGCGGAGGATGGAGGGAGAAGAGGGGGAGGAGGAGGAGGAGGAGGAGGAGGAGGAGGAGAAGGCCTAACCAGCAGTAAAGCGAGGGCGGCGCGCCACCAGCGCTCCCACGGCGCGGGAGGCGGGCGAGCCCGCGAGCTTGCCGACCTCGGCCAGGACGGCCTGGCGGAGCGGGGGCTGCCGGGCGAGCGGGCGGGGCCGTGAGCCTCTGGGGAAGAGCCGGGGAGGAGGAGGCGGAGGAGGAGGAGGAGGAGGAGGAGAAGGAGGAGGAGGAGGAGGAGGAGGAGCTCGAAGCTCGCCCGAGGACTCCAAAGGATTCCCTCGGAAACCTCAGGATTCCTGGGGATTCCTGGGGTGCGTTTCTGTATGTTCGGCGATGACAGGCGTCATGGGGGGGGGCGGGGGGGGTGTATGACGTAACGCCCCCCCCCCCCGTGTGGCTCCCGCACCACAGCCGCGCCCGCGCGCACGACGCGACGAGCGACGAGCGACGACGAAGACGACGACGAAGACGACGACGACGACGACGACGACGACGACGACGACGCCGACGACGACGACGACGACGACGACGACGCGAGCAGCATGTAGGTGGCGATCTGCCCCACTGCGCCTGTGATTGCGCCTATGTACACCACAACGATCGCGTGCACCACAACGCGCGTGTACACCACACCGCCTGCGTACACCGGCACAACCATGCGCAACGCAGCGCCTGTGTGCACTACAATGCTCGCGTACACTACAGCGCCGGTGTACATGTGTACACCGCAGCGACCATGTGCAACACAGCGCCTGTGTCCACCACAATGCTTGCGTGCACCGCAACGCCTGTGCACGCCACTGCGCCTGTCTACACCACAGCATCCGCGTGCAACGCAGCGCTAGTGTACACCACAGTGCCTGCGTGCATTGGACAAATAGAAGGAGCGTGTACGTGAGGATCTGCTGCGTAAACGCCACGCCAAGAAACTGCTGCTAATCGAATGCGACGTTCTTCCCTCCTCTCTCGTCCTCCACCTCAACCTCCTCCCCCTCCCCCTCCTCCTCCTTCCGTCCTCCTCCTTCCTCCTCCTCCTGCCTACGCTCGCGTCCTCCTCCTCCTCCGCCTCCTCCTACGCCTCCATCCTCCTCCTCCTCCTTCCTCCTCCTTCCTACCTCTCCTCGATCCTCCTCCTCCTCCTTCCTCCTCCTCCTCCTCCTCCTACCTCCTCTCCTCCTGCCTCCTCCCTCCTCCTCCTCCTCCTCCTCCCCTCCTCCTCCCTCCTCCTCCTCCTCCTCCTCCTCCTCCTCCTCCTCCTCCTCCTCCTCTTCCTTACCCCCTGTCGTGAGGGTTGGCACTACAGCGCACGTGCGCATATCAACGTGCATCGCAGAATGGTCTATTGAATCGGTCCCCTTGGTTCTCGGGCGGCCAATTTAGCTGGAGCCTCCTGGACACACATGGGAGGAGTTAGGGTGATGCGGGCGGACTCGGGAGGACTCGTAGCTTCCAGCGGCGTTCTTCTGTCCAGAAGGACTCCTTTGTATTGTTTGCTGTGGAATCCACAAGCACTCTTTTTTGTCATGAGGGTTCCTTCTAACATTCCATATACAACAGTGGTGATGTGTTGCACACGGTTGCTGTGGTGCACACAGGCGCCGTGGTGCACACAAGCACTGCAACGCACGCAGGCATTGTGGTGTACACTGGTGATGTGTTGCATACGGCTGATGTGGTGTACGCAGGCGCTGTGGTGTACACAAGAGCTCTTGTGCCCGCAGGCACGGTGGCACAAACTGACGCTGTGTTGCACGCGGCTGCTGTGGTGTGTACACAGGCGTTGTGGTGCACGCAGGCACTGTGGTGTTCTCAGGCGTTGTGGCGCAGATCACCACCTACATGCCGGTGCTACCCGTCCTCCGTCATTCCTAGGAATTCCCAGACGCCGCTGGCGCGAAACGTGACATCATCGACCCCCTCCACCCCCCCAGATGATTGCCGTCATCGGCCCGGAATGAAAAACAGGCTCCAGCCGCGTCCGCGCGCACGACGACGATGGTCGACGAGCCACGAGCCACGAGCGACGACGACGACGACGACCACGACGACCACGACGACCACGACGACTGCGGACCAGATTCCTATGCGGATTCCTACGCGGACACCTACGCTGATCCCAATGCGCACGGCGGCAGTGCCCAGAGCGCACTGGTGGGGGGAGCGTTACGTCATACGGGGGGAGCAGGGGCCATGACGCCCGTCATGCCCCAAGCAATAAAGAAACGCCTGGGGAGCCCTGAAGATTCCAACAGATCTCCGAGGGATTCCCGAGGACTCCCAAACTCTCACACACCCGTCCTTCAGCCGCCCCACGCACGACCTCACGGGTGCGAGGGTGGTGGACGGTGTGGTGACGGTGTGCACATTGATGCGTGGATGAGAGTCTGGTGTGTGTGTGTGGTTGAGGGTGCGTTGCGGAGACGCTGTTTATGAGCCGACGGTTGGCACGAAAAGCAGGCACGTGACCACTGTTTTTCTGGTTCCCGGCGGACCTTGAATTAAGGACAGAGGTTGTTGCAGACAGTGCTTTACCGTCGCTTGTTGCGAGTGATTTAGTTTCGTTCTATCTTTGAGGTTGCACATAACAATGTTAGTGATTCACAGTGCAAGGACAACCTGACTGTGATTGTTGAAATGTTGTGAACTGTTGATGGCGGCAGAAGGTGCGGGACGGGAAAATGACCACAGCGACTGCTTCTTGTTTGCGCCGCCTTCCAGCCGGCCGAAAAAGAAGCAGTGGTTGTGGTCATTTCCCTGGTGCCAAGCTCAACGAAAATGACCACAACCACTGCTCTGTTTCTGCGGGCTGGAAGGCGGCAACAAAAGAAAAGCAGTGGCTGTGGTCGTTTTCACGCCCCGTAGAAAGGGACAGGTGCAGTCAGCTGTCCTCCCCCTGCCCGACTCTGCAGCGGCGAGGCGCGCTCTGAGAAGACCGCCTCCCTCGCCCCGCCGCTGGCACGAAGGAGATCAAGGGGCCCGGGGAAACAAAAGCAAATAGGCACCAATTCCAGGATTCCTGGAGCTGCCCTTGCCCCGGAGGAGGAGGAGGAGGAGGAGGAGGAGCAGGAAGAGGAGGAGGAGGAGGAGAAGGAAGAGGAGGAGGAGGAGGAGGAGGAAGAGGAGGAGGAGGAGGAGGAGGAGGGCGGCAGGCCTCGTGCGCGGGCCGTTTCCCCATGCTTTCTGGAGCTCCGTATTCCCCATCCACCTCCCACAGCTTCCCCTGTCCTCCTGGGCATCGGCGTTCAACTTCGAGCAACCTTCAAAAACCTTCCCGAGAAGGGTTCTGGATGGGTTTGGGAAGACACCTTTCAAACAACTTCTTCAAATTGTTTCCCAATCGGTGCTTGCACTGACGGGGTCCTGTGTCTGCTCCAATATTTCGGCGACGAGCGAAGAAGGGGGGGGGGGGCAGTGAGCAGGAAGGGGCCCTCTCAGAGGCGGCGGGACTCCTCAGGAGCCCTCCGGACTCCTGAGAAGACTTCTGCGCCGCCAGGGAAGGCTCGGAAAAGTTCTCGGAGAGGGCCTGGGGACTTCCGAGCCTTCTGAGCACGCCCGCCCCTTCTCGCTCCCCTCCGGGCTCGCCGCCGAGAGCCTCCCCATCCTGAAAGACATGGTCAAAAAGGGCTAGGATCGGGATAAATCGCTCCAGAGCGTTCCGGAGCGCTCTCAGAGCGTTCCGGAACGCTCTGGAGCGGCCGCGGCGCCCAATACCTCCTCCAAACCCGCCGATTCTCAGAGATTTCGAGTTATCCGGATCCGATTTTGTCCCGATCTTCGCGTCGTTTTACATGGGCCCCGAGGGCGGCGGGTCCCAGACCGAGGCCTCCCCCCAGGACTGGCCCGGCCCCCCCAGACCCCCCCCCCCTGGCCGCCCTCGGGCCCGGGGACGGCCCCGAGCGGCCGAGCACAGCGAGCCCAAACTCAGGGCACGCTCACCTCGTACTCGGCGGCACGCACGAGGGGGCAGGGAGCAACGACAACAACGATGAGCGATACAAATAACGATCACGATCGCGATAACGTCATCGTTGTGCTCGCTGTTGCCGTCATCGTTATCAGTGTCGTTATCCTTGGGGGAAGGCTTCTCAGAGGCAGGCTGCTTCTTAGAAGGCGCCGGCCCTGCATCTGCGGGCAAGGCCCGCGCTTTCCGTGAGGCAGGGGTGTGTCTGAGAAGGCTTCCCCCCTCCCCCCGTACCCTTAAGTCGGGCCTGTCCCCCTACGGGGGGATTTTCGACGAAAGATCAAAGATACCCCATTATTATTTTTGGGGGTGTATTTTTGCGGTATTTTTGTATTTTTCGTCGAAAATCCCCCTGTAGGGGGACACGCCCGACATAACCGTACCCCCGCTGCGCGTGGCCGACACGCGCGGCACGGTGCACCCTCGTCTTGCGGCCCCGAGGGCCGAAGTGAGCTGTGCACCGTGCCGCTCCACACGGGGCCCGGGCAGGTGGCCCAGGAGGGGGGGGAGGAAGGAGGGGCTGGAGGGAGGGCCAGGGGGGTGCAGGTGGTGGTGGTGGTGGAATGTTGACCTCGCGCCCCTGAGAACAGCAAGCAGAGGAGAATCGCATGTAGGATGTGGGATGTCCCGGCAAGTCGCATGTACCGAAGCACGGATGACGAGGAAAGAAGACGTCGTCCTCGTCGTCGTCGTCGTCGTCATCGCCGCCGCCGCCGCCGCCGTCGGTAGAGGGAAACAATTACTGAACACTCCCCCTCCCCCCCAAACTCAATGTTGGCACGCGCGGGGGACACTGCGGTCCAAGTGCATCTCATCAGACCCACCGCCAACACTGAACATTGGGGGGAGGAGGAGGCGTTGACGGATGAATGTGGCATGAGTGTTCGCTAATTTGTTCCGAGGCCTGGTCGTCGTCGTCGTCCTCGTCGTCCTCGTCGTCCTCGTCCACGTCGTCCTCGTCGTCCTCGTCCTCGTCGTCGTCGTCGTCGTCGTCGTCCAAGGTCGACGGTCGACGGCGCCTCGGGGAACGCCAACGCGGCGCGGCGCCTCGGGGAACGCCTCGGGAGCCGTCCCTTTGGACCTCGGGGCCCGCCTGCTCCACGTGGCGCCCTCGGCGCGCACTGCGGGGGCACGGCGTGCCCCGCCGTGGCCTGCCGG